GGAATATTCGAGGTGGTGATTTCCGACAACGGGCCGCAATTCAGTGGCACAGAGTTCCATGCTTTTAGCAGGAAATGAGGATTTCGTCACCGGCTCATCAGCCCATATCATAACCAATCAAATGGAAAGGCTAAATCCACAGTGAAAGAGGAAAAGAAAGTGCTTACCAAAGCCAAGGAGACGCACGAGGATCCCTACATTATGCTGCTGGAGCGAAAAAAACACGCCATCTACCGAAATCGGAGCAAGTCTAGTGCAACGACTAGTCAGTTGCAGAACAAGAACGCTGCTACCAACTGTTACACTTGCACAACAGCGCGAGATAGTGTCGATCGCTTCCCTGCATGATCGACTGCGGAAGAAAATGCTAACGCAAAAGTAGTACTATGATCGTGGGTCGAAAAACCTTTGAACTCTACCTTTGAGACAAGTTCGGGTGCAACCAGTACCGGAATTAGAAAAATGTTGGCGGAAGGGAAAATCGAAGGGATGAAAAGAGCTACGTAGTCAGGATAAGGAGCAACATCATTAAAATGAATCGGTTACAACTCAGAAGAGCACGTCATGGGCGGACACTGCAAAGCGTGGATCGGCAACGCCAACAGCAACATAAAGGATACCTGTTACATATACCCAAGACACTAAGCGCACACACGGTGGAAGACAGTATTACAACAATGTCATGAAAAGGAAAACGGAAAGGATGCGATGGTGGCTGAGACGGGGGGCGGATGCGTGGATGCAGTACTGATGGACTGGGGGCTAAGCAGACAAAAGTCAAGCACGCACAACTGGCCCGATCTAGCGCAATGGAAAACAGCAAATCGGATTGGTCGATCGTACGGCGAGTGGAGGACAAACGCCTGAGACCATTGTAGCGACGCACGTACTTGAGGCAGATGGTTAACCGAGGAAGCATCAACCGAATGGACGAGTGACCAATCAGACGTTACACATGAGAACTGGTCACCCAGAACGAACCCGGCCCAGTGTAACCATGACATATGTGGATCGACTCGTATGCAGAACGAGCACAAACCAATGGGATGTAACTGACGTTACAGGTTAGTTAACGAGGGCCAGCCAGTGAAGACAACATTGAAATACTTTAGGTACACTATAAATAACAATGAGTCTACTTAATAAGGATTTGTGATCGCCGCCCCGACTTCGTTCGTGATTCGCGGAGGGCAACTAGACAGGGGGCATATAAACAATAGCGATAGGATAAATCAGGGGTATTGAGTTCGACAATAACGTGAGTCGAAAACACAGCTTATGTCAACACCTAGGACATCCAGCACAAATGTAAGTGCAGCCTGCTGACATCGTGCAGACGACGCATGGTGAGGTGGGAGTTGACAACAGATACGTGCGAATAGCATGATCCAAACGGCATAAGCACGTCATCCGCAACACAAATGATTCGCAGTTAGGAGACAATGACGGGTCTAACAGTGAAGGAAAAGGATACAGGTAGCAGAGCGCCGAATACTCTGAATAAACACTGAAGATCAAGACGTCTGTAAAGTCCAATAGAACTATGATTTCCTTTACCGGTTCGATTATTCCCCCTTGATGACTCAGTGATCCTAGTTCCACCTCTTTCCACATTCCGAGCTAAGAAAATGCTTTTTGTGCTTTAGACCATTACCCGCTCAAACGAGTATCGTTTCACATTTACTCCGATTGCGTGCGCTTTTCTCCAGGTCACGCTTCCACCAGTCTGCTTCTAGCATCACAGTTACTGTTATCTGTGTCCGCTGCCGTTGTAAACCTAGTCGTGAGTCCTATCGCGTCTATTATATTGAACTTTATAACTACGGTTACAGGACCATAATACAAATTATTCTGTCTTGACCGTTTCCTGCCCAGACCGTGAGCATAGTCTAGATTTATAGGTTGAAACAGCAATATATATATATATATATATATATACATGTGATGTAACTCGATTCAGATTGTTCCGTTGTTACAGCGTAGGGCGGTAAGCAGCAAGTCAGAATGTGAAGATGCCTTATACTCATCAGCCGCAGTACATCAGTCATCTGAACTGATGCATCGCTGCCACACAAGCATGATGACCTAATGGATAAAGAATAATATGAGGCAGAGAAAGGGGACTTATAGAAAAACCTTAATGCCCCAAGCAAACATTCAGCGTCAAGGCACCTAGATCTTGTGTCAACAACATACCGTAACAACCAGCTAGCTATCGTGCAAAGACAAAGCGACAGCAGCGAGACAGCTTCCCTGCGGCTTTCACTGACCTACGTCATAAGCAGCCATTACCCCGCAGATAACTCAGCAACAAACACACTTTAAACAGGCAGTCCTACTACGAGACAACAGCAAACACGCCACTGGTGATGACCACGAGCCATGTCCTGTAACCTCTCCAGCCAAGCACAAGGAGAGTCACGTGGGCTTCTGCCTGGAAAGCAGGACGGATCAACGGCATCGAGTCTGGACGTCATTCATCTCTCGCGGCCAAGTTAACTTTTGCCCACCTAGATTCATGTGCCACAAACAAACAAACAAGCAAAGAAGATAAGGCTCTTCTCGGTAAGCGGCGACCAGGCATATGTACGTGCTCAAGCCAACATAACTTATTCAGAGTTATCAGTTGTTCTAATGAACTAGCTTGAGTATCAATGTAGACACAGTCTAGTGCAATCCGACATCAGTAATGCTTCGTAAGCACCGATGACCAAATACTTGTGCTTGTCTAGACTACTTACAGGACGTGATTTGCAACCGGTGGTTGTGGAACCACCAGTCTGAAGTGTATGTGGTGTATCGGATTATCGACGCACGCAGTGTGGGTAGTGACTCAGAGTGGTTGATTTCGCTAGACAATGGAAAGTATGGGATGGGAGAAAAAATCATCATATGAGTAGAGCATTCCTCAGCAAGGGCTGAGGAGAGTGGGCGCATTTCCGAAGTATTCTCCATTCACCCCTGAGCCCACAGTGCGCGGAGCATCTGGTGTAAAGCCTTTTCGGGACTGGGCTGGGGAGAAAACCTAACCAATTGGATACATCGAACTGGTGCACGATACGAGTGGTAGGGACTATTGGTGAAAATGTAAAAAAGTCGTGTAGAACAAAAAGTGCGCAGTTAAGGTTACGCACCGTAGAAAACAACGCTGAGCAAATACATGTCAATGAGGAAAGTTTACATACTAAGTGGGACGTTTGAGTGTAGCCGGGAATGGTAGGAAAGAGGCTACAGTATGAGACACACATAGATCAGTTCAGTTGAGAGATTCTTCTATGATCCCTGTGCGCAAGTGCGGCAGGTCCAAACAAACACACACATGATACATATCGCCATAATAATAATAATAATAATAATAAGCATAATAATACAGAGCAAATGAGCAAGAATCAAAATCGTAGGGTGGTGGATTGAAATCCAGAAGGCGGGAATTAAATGCAACATCGTGACTGCGCCATAGAGTTTGCAACTAATGATGTGGCGTTAGAAGAACCCAATCCAGGGCGAGTGTAAATATCAACCCAACTCAGCCTATGGGCTGTCTCTTTATGCTCTGTTGTCGGGTTACTGACCGACAGAGCACCTCGGGGTTCTATCCGACTAAGCAGCAGGATTGGCACACAATACAATCGCGAGCGACCAGCTTAGAGGCATGCAGAGGACACGATTGAGAGTAACACACTGTAATGAGGCATGTGGATCTGGTTACCAAACACCAGATGACGAAGTTTGAGATTGCGCACCAGATTTGAGCAGTACCTCGCAAACAATGGTGGCCAAACACAGACAGCCTCTTAATGGCAATAGTGCAGTTCAGTTCAACAACTATGATCCGAGCACCTAAGTGTGGTGGATCCAGTTGCCACGACTCACTTCGCAAGAATAACAATAATTAACTACAGCAAAAATGGGGTTGAACGCAAATAGGATACAAAGACAATGGAAGCAAGGAGGAAGAAGAATTGGGATGGAATGATGCTAACAACTAGATGCAAGAAACCGAATGCAGGAATGCCACTGACTACGCGATTGTGGCTATATCCCATAGTCGCTAACCACTGGTGTGGACCATACCGCAGCCCCCATACAAGAAGACGGTATGCACCAGCCACACAAAGTATTTCGGTAGATTTGTTCATGCTTTTATGCCACATTTTCGACTGATCACTTCGCGGTTTCCCCCAACTTGGTGCAACCACAGCGTATAATGCACACCGAAGAAGCCGGTAAACGAACATACGAAGGACATGACTAGGTAAAGTAAGCGGTTAAGAGTGAGGCACCAGGAGATTATTGGCAAAAACTAACAGGTGAACCTCAAGGTTTCTCTCCTCATGTTTCAACCAGGCGTGAGCAATACTCCGCAAGCGACCGGTGATAAAACACGGCCAATGGTTTAATGTGCTCACTGCGAATTGGCCAGGTCTGTCATCGGTGCGCAGTGATCAGGCCTCTGGGACATTCAGCGCAGTGTTGTGAAACCTTCGCCTGGTCAGTAAGCTTAAACCCTACTGTCCCCATACGCGACAGATGCTCTAAAAAGACACAGGAGACAGCAATGGGTGTAGCAACACCTCGAGCGATGCGATCACCGGATGTGATACACGCACAAAGAACAAGAACCGATAGATAGCTTCGATCGGTTATTCGGTGACTGAGAACATGAGGTGGGTTGGCCCAATTCGAAGGTACAAAGATCATGCGGAAGCGCGCAGCGTATGCGTCGATCGATACGGTAGCGATTGCATGGTGGCTCACGGTAACAAATAAGTAATAACTCTAGAGTTAAACTCCTCAACGGAGTAGCTTGACTGTACAACCGGTAGTGCGAAACTGCAAACACTACCGGTCTTTGGCGGCAACTGGTTTTATTATACAGCGTGTTATGAGTGGGAAAATGAGAGGTCTTTGCTCTTCAACAAATCAGAAGCAAAATAAAGTGTAATTTGAAATCCGCCTAACGAATGTACTATTCAGATGGATGGGAACATATTGCTTACTACGCTAGGAGGAGGGAAGCAATCGTCTGGGAACAAATCCTCAAAAGGTCGCGGTTCATTTCGAGGACGATACATCACGTATTTCCGCACGGATGTCTCCAGACGACTCATGAACTCCGGGCCCGGGGTGCCAAGTTCCTCGGTAATCTTCGTCCACTGGTCAACATAATCTCTGCCTGGGAAAAGAATCCGCTCCAGTACCATTTCCGCAAAAATGCATCCGACAGACCAGATATCCACATTCTCTGAATATCGGATGCCCAGAATAATCTCCGGAGCGCGATAATACCTAAAGTGTCGTGATCACAAATTGGAGAACGTGAATGCAACAAGAATAGGAGGAACTATGAGTGAAAGTAAACAGTGGCACAAAGGGTTGTAACCGACTAAGCCGGACAACTAATGAACAACGAGTGAAACTAATGGTGAGGCGAATCAATGTTGTTTCAGGGGCATGAGTGCCGCGGTGCGCTTTCCAACGGACACGTCTGGAGCCACCAGATAAATGAAACCATATAGTCGTAGATGATGACAACTGTTCCTGCCAATGTTACCATACAATTGACTCAGTTGAATAGCAGCGCTCGGCCGGACTACGACTGGGTGGTCTTAAGGAGCAATCGGAAAATCCCGGAGAATCGCACCAGTTCCAGGCTCGTAAGAATGGTAGACAGATAGAAGAAGCACTCACCTGGTCACAACATATGGCGTCATTGTGAAGCTATTGCTAGTGGTCCGAGCCAAACCGAAGTCCAGGATTTTCAAGCTGCAGTCGTGTCGCACGACGATGTTGCTAGGCTTTAGGTCCCGGTGGGTGATGTCAGCAGTGTGCAGGTGCTTTACGCCGCACAGGATCTGATACAATAGATAGGACATCCGTTCGTGATCCAGGTCCATGTGGATAACCTGAAAGATGAGAGAGTGGAACTAGGATGTAATACAAGCCAACATGATGCCAGACACACTCCAACCCATCGGCCGAATATAATCATGGTGAAGCAGACAGCCTGAATATGCAAGCTAACTGGGATATGACGCAACCTATCCTCCGCTGCCATGCAGGTTCCTACCGTCGCAGAGGACAATGGCTGGTCTCTGAGGTTACGACTTCCACTACACAGTAGCTATGTCCGCATAGCATTTGAAGACTGTGTTGGCGAATGTTTAAATTACTGATGAGTAGAGGGATTCTTGATGGTATTTTACCGGTTCATCAAAGCTGCTCACAAGCCAGCTTAGTTTAATCCGAATTCGGAAAAACACAAGGCGATCGTTTCGCTCTATTGGGGTCCGTCAGTGGTGCGCGTTCATTAGTAGGCTAGACATTTGCCTTCACAGGATCCAGATGGTATGCGAACATACCAACAGTGTAGTGAAAGTCGTAATCTCAGAGGCCAGCCACCAGCCTCGACAATGATAGGAATCTGCATGGCAGTGGAGGACAGATTGCACTATATCCCAATTAGATTTCAACTTCAGACGGTCTGGCTCCGTCCCCCATGTCCCAGTGGCATAGGCCGCTAGCGACCCTTGGTTCCATCCCCATCAGAGTCAACGCTCAGTTACTGTGGTCCTAGGTCCATCGCTGCCGGTCAGCTTATCACACGTTAGACAAAACATTTCTTGTTATTGGATTGGCACAGAGGAGGCAATATGAAATGCGCGCATCTACCATTGTTAGTCTTCTCAATGTTACTGGTCGAGCCACTCAATTCGGATCCATATGGACACCAGAGGGAGCGTGAAAATGAATGTAGCAATACCCTAATTTAAACGGATCCTACGCTCCTCACGTGTATCATAGATGAGGAGTCAGTAGCTCCGGGAATAGTGGAAGCAGTAGGAGGAGGAATATGGTGAGTTTTGTTGTGGAATAAATGAGAATATGCGTAGCTCGGGGTGTGGATGCGGATTTTGGGCGGTTCTCCGAGCTGACTGATTATTGTGCAGACGTTTCGTTGCCTGACTAGGCAACATCATCAGTGCGGTTTCAGGGACCTGGTTCGCAGTGCCTCGTAAGCGACTTCAATGTCCAAGTGCTTATTGATCGAGTTCTGCTTTGAATGCCAGGCTTCAATGAACTCACGTGCTTGCCGGATTTTAGCCCACCCATGGTTCAGTTAAGAGAAAGTGCTTTTGGTGTGATCAAATCTTGGATGGCGTGCCATGGAAGCTTATCGCCTCTCTGAAATCCCTATGCTGCAGCATCGGAGAACATGCAAAGCCGTACAATGAGCTGTCCACCAAGTCGAATGAGGTGTGTTCCTTCTTGTCTAAACTTACATATTCTGGGGTATACACTTTGCTAGATGAGTAGTTTGAAAAACCTGCGTAACAGCATCTGAACAGACTAACGCAGGGAGAAGCACGTTGCGGAATGGGTACCACACTTTCGAACGGTGACGGAGTGGTTCAAGCGTTTGGTTTTTAGACCAGCTGTCGCCTGTTCGAATTCGGGTGGGTGCGGATGATGTCGCAGCATTCTAGCTTGCGTATAGCCGCTGCTGGTGGCTGAGCGTACCGCGCGTCTTCAAGAAGCACAGTAATACCGCAGAACAACGGGAACGATGCATACCAGAATGGTATAATCACCGGGGTCACTTAATATAAGCGCTTCAGGTCACAGATTGCCAAGCAGCGTACTCGCGGGCAAGAAAGTAATGCATGATTTTTCAAAAGCTCAGTCTGGCACCCTTGTTAACTTTTCCAATAACTAATTGTTTCTAATAGCTCAGTCATCTATGGAGTCAGCATGATAGCAGTTCGTCGGTTAACAATGGTAGCTTGAACACGACAGTACGGCTATTGATGAAGCATGGACGGGAAACATAGCTAATATGCGTTGGGATCTTTAAGAGATCGGTCATCTGCGACCAATAACGCCCGCATGGCAGTAGGACCACCGAGCAAGTAACGTCGATGGACAGGCTGCTGTGAATGAGGGAATCATCTTGATTTGCAAAGAGACATCGGCAGTACGCCGGCATGCCGTACCGACGCATCGCTGCCACGTGACTGCCAACAGTCGCGAGATGGCTGGATACACCGCGAGGTCGGCATTACTTACGCGGTTTCGAACAGGTAATCTCACGATTACAACGTAAGTGTGAAAACTTTTTGGTCACCGGTTGCCTATCTTGAGATACACTAGAGCGTGTTTTAAATTCGTGTCCTTGTAACGACGGCTGGCCATGGTTGGATTGTGTGAAAACAAAGTTATGCAGTGGCCATTCTGAGGCATCCGCTGTGTGACTGGATTGCAACATACAATCCCAACCGGATCCGTGGTTCATTCTAAAGCGAACCTCAGCCACCGGGGTTGTATCCGAACAGATGAACGTTAGAGTCGTTGACTGCTCACAACATCGCACTCCATTACGGGTTTCGCGCTCGTCTTATGAGGTGACGATGGTAACCCTGTGATTCGAGAGAAGGACGCTGGGAGGTTAACTGTTGTGGCAAGCATTTCCGTTGTGAGTAGGCGGGTTAGGATCAAGGACGTCCGTTGGCGTCTGAATGTCCAGGATGGATTTCAGTTGCGATCCTGACGAGTGCGAGCGAGCATGATACTGGTCGGAGTGAAGGTGGTGTTGCAAGAGGGAAAATTTGTAGGTAGAAGAAAAGTGTCACATCATTCCTGTTCAAACAGACCTGACGACTGTTTCGCTATTGTTCCCCTGGATGGAACATAGATCGGCTGCGGCCTCGCGAATCCCAATCGCTGAGTGAATTGTGGATAAGACTACTCGATAGAACAACGAAACACAAGCGCGAACTTAAAGAATTCGTCGCAAACCAGAGGCCAAGAAAAACCTTTGACGAGAGCATAGGCACAGATTTAGCCAAAGATGGAAAACAGAGCGATACCCATAACTCCGGAAGGTGTAAAGTATAAATCGACCAGGTATTTTTCATTATGATGCTATTGCGCTCTTGACGCATGCCAATCTTCAGGGCAGGTTGATTGCGGTAAGACCGAACTGCAGTCACATTAACAGTTTATACAAAACCGAAGTGTATTACAAACCTTCAGAAGTTAGAAATTTCTGGTCGGTTCCAAGCATATTCCGATAGTTGTACAGAGGTAAAATGACAATTCGGGCAAATAAATGCTTACATTGGAACGCTGCTACTTTTAGAGTGAACGACGCGTGGATGTGCACATGCAGAAAGGTGTAAATTGTTACGATTGGTGTGTATTGGCGCCGTACGTGGGTAGTTGTGAGAGAACAAAAGTAATTCCCGTAAGTCATCATAGAAAATAGACAAAATAGTTCGGTAGGGTCAGAGGATGCATGTTGCTGAGTAACATCAAGGAAAGGTAGTCCCATATATGGTTGGAGACTCTCTATGATGCGGTGCAGATGAGACAAAACAAGGGCATCAGCAGTACTCCGACAGCGTACCGACGCATCTCTGCCGTGTGGCCACCGACAGTCGAGCGATAACTAGGTACACCGCGAGGTCGCCCGCATGTCGAACTGGTGACGTCCGGACTTCAAAACAGGCGCGTAGTCGTTTCGGCCACCGGCAGGTGAGGAACTAATGATGCTCTCGTACTGTTATCAATTGTGTCTAACGGTTAGAGGATTTTCATATCATGTCTCTTGAAATGGCGCCAATAAGTTGGGCCTTTCTGTTGCAATTTATGTTCATCAGTAAAACTGAGCATGGATCTATGACATAGTCAACCGACAGAGCAGAAGAACAGGAGGAACGCAGGTTCAGGAGGAAAATCCGAGCAGCAGAAATAACCATATGAAGAGGACAGTGAGCATTAAAATTACGGGAACGTACCAACAAGCAACAATACATAAGATACTGGGGAAGAGAGGGAGTATAAAGTTGCGAGAGAAGTGGCCAAGGGAGGAGAAGCGGCACGTTAACGAAAGGTGGCACAACCAAGGTGAACTGCTTTGAAAGTTTTCCCCCTTAGATCTAACAGATCAGATGACTATCGGCTTTTATTGGGACAGATCGGGTCGTTTTATTGGACACACACACAAACAGGTGGCGTTCTGCCAACGATGACTGAGAAGAAAAACTCCTTCTGAAGGCATGCAGGTTGTCCCATGCTTCAAGGCGGAAGAACTAAATTCGACGCCAAAAATCAGTGTCCTTCCAAGCGTCTTGTAACTGGGCGGTGAACGGGGATACAGCAACAGGGGAAAGCTGCACAAGTAAAATGCAAACGAACCTGTCAATTTGACCCAGCAGCGACAAATACGAGAAATGTTAACAAGTGGGGTGGTCAGATGAGGATGATAAGAGATGAGATCGGAGCAAGACTACGCTTCAGAGTATAAACTGAGTTCAGTGAAATGGAGATACAGCGCCAGCAACAGTAGAGGACTTAAACCCTCATGGCCAATGGGACACGCTGGTCGCCTGGGCTAGGGATGGTGAGAGGCCAACTGCTCGGGGGTGAGATGTGGGTGGGACTCGATCACAGTGACTGATCCGGATGACAGCTGGCCATAGCTTATTCAGGTAAGGAAAGAGCAGTAGGGGGAGTTGAATGGTATAAGTAAAAATTAATCACATCTAGACTCAGACAGCCAGCCACCACACGTCCGGAAAAGCACTGTACGACCGTCTTATAATTTCGGGAATCATCAGCAGTACGTACTGCATCTGATCCCCGTGGAGTTCGAACCAGCAACTCGACTATTGCCAGTCTGTGATTGATATCACTGAGCTACGGGAGACGGTAACAACCAGCCTAAGTTACTAAATGTGGCATACCGCCGCCCACCCAGTTAACTTGAGACAATTATGACCTGGAACAGAAGTGTGACGGTAGATCCAGTTACAGTGATTTGTGTCATAAAGAGAACATCAGTTAAGATAGAGAATACAGGTATAGTGCAGAGAAGACGATTAAGAACAGAGTGACCAAATTTAATCGAGATGGAATATGAGGACAACAACGAGGCGGAGGAGACCGAGGACAAGGGTGCCACTGAGTGTGCCCCCGTGTCATGTTAGATAAGGTCTTCATCCGAAAGCCCAATCAAATAAGACGGTGCGCACCAACTGGGTCATTTTTCGATCAATTTCTCCATGCATATATGCCGCATGGTCGAGTGATCACTTCGTGCTTCCACCAAACTAGATGTAGCAGGCATCAACAATACGTCGGTATGCAGTACCGACACTTAGCTGTGGCGCAACTACCAACAGTTGCACGTGGGCTAAGGATACTGCGAGGGTCGCCAGGACCCTAGGCAGCCTCCAACATGCGTCCTCAGGCTTGTGATCCTTAAGGCTATGAGATGGCAGGTGTAGCGGCAGCATAAAATGCATACTGAAGAAGGCATCCAATGGGTAAACGGAGGACATAACCTAGCCAACGAAGGTGGTTACGCTTTGACACTCCAGTGGTAGAGTAGCAGAGAGTTTCTGGCCGTATACCAACTGGTGGACCGCAGTCTTGCTTACGCGGTGTTCCTAGTAAATCTGAGCAATATTCTACGAGCACTAGTGACCAAACACGGCCAAGCTCTTAATGCATTCAACGTGAAGTGTCCATGTTTCTAATCCACCAGGTAACAACGGTTTCATTACAGCATATACATTCTATATTATAGGGAAAAAATAAGATCCCACTGCCTCAACAGAGGATTGAGACTTTTGAAGGTCACGTGGCCTGTACCGATACTTAGGTGACCTACACAGGGAGGTGACCACAAGTAAACCGATCAGCCTTTTTGATTTGCTGTACGGTGATAAATAGGGTCGGTGGCATATCCTGCACTTTGAAGATGCGGACGACACCCAGTTTCTGACGTGAGAAGTCGAGAGCTGTGGATTAGAGAGTAAGCTGAACTGAAGGGTATCAGTAGGTTTGGAAACGAAGTAAAGCATTAAGGTGCATAACTGTAGCATATAAGCATATATAGTAGCCTGTAAAAATGCACCATTTTGATGAACGTGGGACCTTTGTTGGCATTGCGGACAATGCAAGAGTCAGTGATAATGAACAGACATGCAGAATTGTTGAGCAAACGGTAGCACCTTAGAAACTTTTGGGTGGCACTGTTTTAAATGAGTATTAAGAATTAAGTACTATGCAGAACAAAATATCCGGATAATGAGAACGCACCTGTCCGAGGTTGGCATCCATCAATTCCATGACAATATATACATCTTGGAAGCTCTCAAGGGTTTGCTGAGGGCTGAACGCATTGAGCAAGGAAATAATCTAAAAAAAAGTGAGAACCAGAGAACTTCTGGTAAGAAGTTTATTAATAAGCAAGTAGGTCATCATCACAGCCTATGAGGAATTACTCAGCCCAGCCAACAGAACTGAGCCAGTCTGTTCCGCGAGCTTGTACGATCATGTGTTCGGAACATTGATGGTAGAGAACGAAAAATGCTCAAACCAGCCGCAAATACGAAAACAAGGACAAGACGCTACATAACGTCTAACTCGGAAAGTGGACTAATCCACTCTAAGAATATAATTAGATTTAAAGTGTCGCACTATAATAATGCGATTTTCAACCAGCCGCGTAGACAACCAGCGGAAGGATAAAAGGAATGCAAACAAAAGGTATCCATAGAAAACGGAGTCATTTAAGGTTGTCGTCCGCAGTGAATTGACCTACGCCTCGTCAGGGGAAGACGACGCTGGCCACAAAGTTGAGCTATTTGCAGAGGTTTGGCTTCAGTCGCCGGATGGTTTTAAGCTTAGCGAAGCAAAGGAAACTAGGAATATTCTGTCTGTGATAACGCTGAACGCGTCATAGGGGCTTTCGCAAAAAGTGCAGTCGAGCAGATGTTGGGCGATTGAGCTGGTACGAAGTTTAGGACCACTCGCAGCTAAGTTCCTAGGAACATGTTCTATGACCTTAATTGATAATTTGTGCTCGGTTCGACCAATTTATGTACTACTGCAAGTACACGTAAATTGGTAAGCCCATGGCGCAGTACCCTGGGATTGAGGCTTATCCAAGATGGATTCATGGGGCAACTTCTTGATCTGAGGTAGCAGCACAAGCTCAACTGCAGAGTAGCACTTCTGCATTGCTTGGTGTAGTCTGAGGCAAGATCTTTCGTTTTGTTCTGCTTTGTAGGATAGCGTAATGAAGACCATTTAGAAATCCGTGAGAATATTTGCACCTCGGGGACATCACTCACTTTTCATTCACGAAAATCCCTCCACCACATATGAGGATAAATTTGTTGAAATACCTGTCATCACGTAGGGTATGTGCGCCGTCTCAACGAGACTGGACCTTAACGAGGTGCGACGGTTTGCGTACCTCATTGACCCATTGAGCTATACTGGGTGATGCCTCCGGGCATCTTGGGAGCTACTCCTACCAGGTTGATCAATGGTGAGAGGTCAGACATACTCAGTCTCCTGGTCCTCCAGATTGGGAGTTTGAAATGGGATGGCGTCCATTTCTGTAAAACTAAATAATTCCCACCTCCTCGCTGCATTGCGGACAGGCTCTTGAGCCAAAGGCTTAGGATGAGGACCCTAATGGTCCTCCTGTCTAGGTCTGGGCGCCCTGGCAGTATCTCAGCCCACATACAACCATGACATTTTCTTCAGACATAAACTTCATCCTCCATCGGCCATCGTGAAGATTATCAAGGGTCAATTTATCTGCTACATATAGAAAGGCGGATAAACGAAAACATGTTATTGCTGGCGTCTCCCTTCTTTCTTTTCAAACGTTTTCTCTTACTTCAATCCTGACCCCCATTACTAACATTCCTTCTATAATTTCCAGCTTAATTGACAGCAACCGAAGTGCCAATGGAGTAGAACCATCTGCAGCCATTATCCCACCGCACCTATCGGACGCCTATCGGCAAAAGTCCCTTATAAGGCCACGCTATCCTGTTTCCATGGAGACCTTCAATGTTAGCACTCTAAAACAAACACGTCAACAGGCTGCCCTCACACGCACCTTGGAAACACTGGGTATTGATGTGTTGTGTGTCCGAAACCAGGATCAATGACCCTAACGGGGTTATTGAATTAACTGCATCCGGCTTATCTTCTCGTTATTTAGTTGCACGCATCCGGAGATGCCGATGCAGCACTCACGGGTCAAGCTGGTGTAGGTATCATTCTAAGCTCCAAGGCTGAGCCATTGTTGATTGAGTGGATTCCGGTGAACAGCCGTTTATGTGCAGCCCGTCTGACGACATCAGCTAAGGTGGATTCATAAAGTAATACAAAACGCTGTTTGTTTGTGATTTCCGTTTATGCTCCCACCAACTGCAGTTCTAATGCTGTCAACGACATATTCTATCACGAACTGAACGCCCTACTTCACAGAGCTACTAGTTCAGATATTATAGTACTTGCAGGGGATATGAACGCACCAGTAGGGCGTCTGAGCTCTTCAGAAGCTCAGTTGGGTGGTAACTGTGGGCTTAACTCCCAGCGGACTGACAACGGTGAGCGTCTGTTGCAACTGTGTGCGGAGCTCCACTTGTTTCTTAGTATCACTGCTTTTAGACACAGTGGGCGCCGAAGTGTCACTTGGCGTCCTCCTGTAGCTGGCCAGCGATGGACTCAAATTGACCACATAGCCATAAGTTACAGATGACGTGCTTCCATCAAGGATTGCCGCTCGTACTGGAGTACCTATGTCGACTCTGATCATGCTTTGGTGCGCTGTCGTTTCTCCATGAACTTTATCGGGAGGCGTACCAAACGTCTCCTCCAATTGGCAACTGAGAAATTGCCTCAGCCCTCGGTCAGGCAAGCCTATCAAGAAGCACTGCATACCGAACTTTCGCTGTCTTGTCCCAATGACACTGAACTTCAGTGGAATAGAATCTCGGCCGCTATGCATGACGCAGGAGCAGCCGCTTGTGGCACTATCCATCGTCACCGCACTAGTCACTGGATATCTGAGAGGTCGGTGAACCTGTTGGAATCTAGAACACACCTCCCGGCTGGCTCTGAACACAATGTGACCAGACGTGCAATTAGGCGTGAACTAAAGCGGAGCCTACGTGCTGACAAGGAAGTCTGGTGAACCAGTCGGGCTAAGAAATGGAGGAGGCAGGAGCAGTAGGTAATTACCGCAAGCTCTCCCAGCTAATCCGCAACATTGGTCCCAGAAAACCAGGCGTCAGTGAGACAATCAGAGACAGCGCGGGTGCGCTGATACACAATAAGGAGCACCGTATGGCTAGTTGGGCGGAACACTTTCAAGATCAGTTCAGCTGGCCCTCTGCTCCCGAACCTCTTCCTCATCAGGTAATGCAGGGAGACCCATGGATGGTTAGTTTAAAGCCTCCGTCGGAGGCCGAGGTCAGAAACGCGATGACAGCCGTCAATCACTTTCGTGCGGCTGGCCCGGATTCCCTCCCACCTGCACTATTAAAGGATCGAGATGAGGTCCTCTGCAAAGCACTGACCTCCCTATTCGAATGTATTTGGAAGGAAGAGAGTGTCCCGGCTGATTGGAGCGAATCGATTATAGTGGCAATATACAAGAAGGGCAGTCGCACAGACTGTGCGAACCACAGGGGTATTAGCCTAACGCCAGTTGTGACAAAATTACTGGCCTCGATTCTCGTTCGTCACCTCACTGCGGAACGGGAATCGCGCATTAGGGAAGAGCAGGCCGGTTTCCGTCCAGGACGTGGCTATATAGACCATATATTCACTGTGCAGCAGGTGTTAGAGCAGCGCCACGCATACCGCAGACCGACAATAGCTGTGTTCCTCGATTTCAAGAGTACGTCCGATCCAGCCGATCGATCGATTCTGTTCGAAATACTTGCGCAAAAAGGTGTTCCCACGAAATACGTGAACATCCTTCGTGCTCTATACTCGAACACTACAGGCCGCGTCAGGGCCTATGGTGTCCTATCAGATAGTTTTGCGACCACAAGTGGCGTTCGTCAGGTTTGTCCGATTTCCCCTTATCTGTTCAATTTCGTCGTGGATTCTATCATGCAGCGTTTGCTTGCAGAATCTCACGATGTAGGCGTTGAAGTCCTGCATGGTGAAAGGTTAGTTGATCTAGATTATGCGGACGATATCGTCTTGCTGTTCGACGATTTTGCGGCGGCACAATCAACCCTGAATAGCCTGTTTGGAGTGGTCCCATTATTTGGCATACACTTCGCACCATCAAAGTGCAAAGTGTTGCTGCAGGACCACCAGCAACTTGATGGCCCCTTGACGCTTGCTAACGAGGAACTCGAGGTGGTTGATCAATTCACTTATCTTGACAGCTGCATCAGCAATGATAGGCGCATAGAAACTGACGTCAGCTCACGCATTGCAAAGGCCAGAGCTGCCTTCTTGAACCTGCGGCATCTTTGGCGTCAAAAGGGAATTTCACTCCGTCTGTAAGGCCGTGTTTACATAGCCACAGTGAGGGCCGTTCTGCTCTATGGGAGTGAGACTTGGCCCCTTCGATCTGAAGCTCCTTCAAGTCTATGATCATCGTTGTCTGCGAAGCATTGCTGGCGTCGGATAGCACCAGCGTGTCCGCAACCATGATGTATGTAGGCAAATATTAGGTAGTGATAATCATTCTACCTCCCTAGAACAACAAATAGCACTGATTAAGTTGCGTTGGCTCGGGCACGTGCTACGTATGCCTGATCATCGCTTACCAATCAGGGCCTTGTTCAGTCTACCAGGTGTAGGATGGCGCAAGGCTCGAGGTGGACAGAGGTTGACTTGGCAGCGGAAAATGAAGTCACTGACGACCAAACTGGGTGCCGTTGATCCGTCTCGCCTTCCGGGCTGGAGTCCACCTGACGCGCCTTGTGCTTGGCTCGAGACTTTACAGGACATGGCTCGCAGTAGACACCAGCGGTGCGTCTGCTGCCGTCTCCTAATCGGATTGCTTGTTTAAAGTGTGTTTGGCGCTGAGTTATCTGCGGGATCATCATGATCATCATCATCATACACGTTAGATAGAGGTGGGGAACATCTCAGTTACTGTGCCCAAATACATGGGAAAAAGGAAAAAAAGCAGCTGGTGCAAGCCGGCTGAGCTACCGGTAACGGATGGGCATCGTTCCTGCAAGCTACCAGCCGGCTACTGTGCATCAGAAAAAAAATTACTATGCAAAATTATATAAGGCTAAATAATGAGATCGTGGTTGGACGGGGAGGCTAAGAGGGATGGGACAAAGAAACTCACAGCACGAACGCCACTGAGGTCGGCTCCGAGCCATATCAGCAAGTGTGTCCAACCAAACGTGCTC